AAAGTGCTCAATATCAGAGATAGAGCGTATATAAATATAAAGTGAACATTGAAGTCAACACTTAGAGGCGACAGGCTGTTTCATGCTAGAGGCAAATTGTCAGGCCACGAGGTCCGAATCAACGAGTGGCCTGACGATTGCATCTAGCATGAAACAGCCTGTCGCCTCTAAGTGTTGACTTCAATATTCATTTATATATATATATATATATATGGAAGAAAGATTGAGGTCAATCTGAAATATCAAATATATATATAAATAAATAAATACTTTCATAAAAAACATTATTATTTTTTTAAGTTGCAACTTTTCTATATATACATATTAAGAAAGTATACGTGGTTTCTCATTATTTATTATATATATATATATATATATATATATATATATATATATATATATATATATATATATATATATATAATATGTCTGAACTTATTATGAAAATCAAATAAACCTCGATAACGCAAAAGGTTTTGAACCAATATTTGTCAAACTTAAACTCGTTAATTTCCACCCAAAACATTTTATTAAATTTTCTGCCATTTTAATGGTTAGTTTTGAGATATTTGCAATTTACGAAAATGGACTGACTGGAGTCAACATGCAGATTAAAGTAATATTAGCTTAAAACCTCTGAAATGCAATAAAAACTATTTTTTCTTTTGACCCCTAATACATGTTGAAATATGGGTAAAGGCAAGGATCTAACAACTGCTGAAAAACAGAAAATAACAAAATTATTGATTGAGGGAATGTCCATATTGGAGATATCAAAGGAGCTTTGCAGAGATCACCGAACGATAAAGAAGGCTGCTGAAAATTGCGAACTCGAAACAAAGTAAAAGGCTTTAAGAACTTTCTTCCTCGCGAAGAACGTAAACTAAAGCGAGTTATAACGAAACAACTGCTTTTTGATGAGCGCCCAGATCTTTGAAAATGCTGGAATTGAGGGAGCCAAAAAGATGTTGAATACTTTGTGTTATAGTATAGAACACACCTATTCTATAGTTAATAGACTCCCCCACCTATATTAAGTAGGGGTAGTAAGAGTAACGAGTCAGTCGCTCAGTGAGTCGGTCTGAGTTCGGTCTGAAGTCGGACGACCGGCTGACCGGTTGAACTCTGCCGGAAGGGCGGATTCTCTTTCGGGGAGGTGGGCCGATCCTGAACCCGTTTATAGGGGTTCAAAGGGCATATTTTTGGCCGAGCCCACGGGCTCGGGCTCGAGATCCCACGGGCCGGCCTTATTCCGGCCTTGTTCCATGATGCCCCGTGGGGGTGACTAAATACCGTCGCTCAGGGGGTTAGTCAGTCGGTGCCGGACGACCGTTAGTCGGATACTAAAGTATCAGCGACCACAACTAGATTTCTCTGCGTCATTACCTATTATATCAAGTTCCTAACGTTTTGTACGTCGAACCTATTTTAGGACCGACTTAGTACAAATACAAGCCTCCACTGTGAAACCACTCCATAACACTTTGTGAACTGGGATCTGAAAAAAATATCCTAGGCAGCCTCCTCTCACTAACGCAAATATTTTAATGCGTTAAAATTGAGACAAGGAAATTGACTTTTCTAAAGTAATTTTTACGGACGAATCTAGTGTGATATTTGGTGGACCTGATGGATGGGATAAAAGATGGATTTTATCCAATTCAGATGTGCATGTGGCTAAAATAATTCAACAAGGAGGTGGCAGTATTATGATATGGTTTGGGATTGTCGATCAAACTATTATTAAACCATTCAAATTCGATGAAGGAGTTAAACTGAACAGTGCAGGCTATTGCAATTTTATGACCAAGAATTTATCGTACAAGTCACAGTCTTGCAGTTTCAAAGTGAAGTGTGTATTTATGCATGACAAAGCCCCTTCTCGTGTATCTAAACTTACCCGTGAATTCATTGAGGATATAAGATTTATAGGAGAGAAGATAATGGAATGGCCAACATCAAGTCCTGTTTTGAATTCGATCGAAAATCTATGGACAATTGTAAAGATGAAATTATATGAAGGTGGCAAACAATATAACGGCAGAACAGCCCCAGGTGAGGCAATTAAAACTACCTTGTCGGTAACTGAACATCAATGGATGATCTATTACTGGCTGTTATTGAGAAGGATCACTATATTAAAATGTAAAGGATTCATAGACCTTATCATATGTGTTTGTGATTTGTACTATTATAGGAGCTGATCAATTTTTGATGATTTTATCAGCTTTTATTGAAGTAAAATGTGATTATTTGGTCTTGCCTAATAACTTTAGACGGCTGATTTTTGGAATACATCAAATGACTTTCATAACTTCAATAAAATATATCGAGACTAGCTCAAATTTTAACTCAGGCTTTGCTTTGACATCTAAATTGATTGTTTAAAATTTGACTTTTTTTTCAAACCAAACGTGAATTATTGAAGTTTATATGATTTGCTTAATAACTTCAGACAGAGTGTAGATCTTGTTGTGATTTTATGACCAAGAATTTATTTGCATTGTAAAAGTCACAGTCTTGCAGCTTAAAAGTGAAGTGTGTATTTATGCACGACAATGCTCCTTCTCGTGTATCTAAACTTACCCGTGAATTCATTGAGGATATAAGATTTATAGGAGAGAAGATAATGGAATGGCCAACATCAAGTCCTGATTTGAATCCGATCGAAAATCTATGGACAATTTTGAAGATGACATTATATGAAGGTGACAAACAACATAACGGCAGAGTAGACTTATGGGAAGCGATTAAAACTACCATTTCGGATAATAGATTATATGCTGTTATTGAGAAGAAGAGTCTCTATATTAATATGTAAAGGATTCAAAACTTTATCATATGTGTTTGTGATTTGTTCTATTATAGATGTTGATTAATTTTTGATGATTTTATTACCTTTTAATTGAAGTAAAATGTGATTATTTGTTTTTGTGTAATATTTTCAGACGGCAGTTTTTTTTTTTTTTTTTTTAGAATACACCAGATAACAAAAATATCTTCAATAAAACATTTTGATACTGTTTAGGATTCCGAGATGAAATCCGGTCTCCAATGAATGACAAACGCAGGAATGAAATATAGCAAATATATGTATTGACGTAATAATACAATTGGTAATACGGTTAGTAGATCCAGAAAATGCGGTTAGTAGCAATAACAATATATATACAGTCTGGGAAATTCAGTATCGAAGTATGACTTCCTTTTGAGTCTACGTGCTCGCAACTGTGACTCCTACAAAGCGGTTACCTCACACTCTCATTCTCTCACCCCCTCACTGTCTGACTGTCACTCTTTGACCGAACACCCGGGTATTCACCGGCAGCAGGACAAGTACACACTGGGCGAGTCCACTTGTATGAAAAAGGGATGGACCATTTAACAGATACAACCTAATATATTACTTCTGGTTTTGTTTTGTCATCTAAATTGATTGTTTAAAATTTGACAATTTTTTTTTCAATCCAAATTTGAATTATTGAAGTTTATAGGTTCTTCTTAATAAATCCAGACGGGGTGTATAATTCTAGCATCTTCGCCTGAACTCTGAAATTCTATTCCTTAAATATTATTATTTTCCCTCCCCCAACGGGAGTATATAGGTCCACCTATAGTCTGGTTCTCATGCCTTCTTCGTCTTTTGAACAGGAGTAGAGGTTTATCCCTCGTTCACTGTTTAGGGTATTAGGTTTCCGGTTCCTTCTATAGTCTAATTCAATTCTATACTTCTAGCATCTCCGCATGAACTTCGAAATTTTATTCACGAATTATTATTTTTTTCCTTTCCCAATAAGAGTAGATATGTTCACTTATTAGCCGGTTCATACTCCTCCACGTTTTTTTAGATCATCAGTGGAGGTGTGTTGTAGCATACTGTTGAGATGTTGAGTGTTTCCGCGTGCATGTATTGAAATAAGGACAAACACATACGTAGGGAAAAATACTGGTATATCTGAAGAGGTATTTACAACAGAGAGATTAGTAGTCAAACGAACGCAGGTTAGTCAGTAACAATCAGAAAGAGTATAAAGTTCAACAGTATCTTCCGGTAGAGAGACGGAAGTGTGATGGTCACCTGATCTTTCCAGAACTCTATAGAACTGTCCTATTAGTAGTAGAGAGATCAGTCCATTCTGTTGAGAAGGTGGGTGCGCCCCAACACATACCTACTGACGATAATAGATATGTCCCCATTCACATAAATATAGTAGTAAATACTGTATGGTGGTCTGCAGTTGGAGATTTGTCTCCAGCTGTTCTGGTCAGACTCTGTGTCTCCGGGCAGAGAGGAGCCCCAGACGAGGCTATGTCGAAAGTCACGTCTCGGGAAAAAGCTACCCGACCTGGTTTTATACGGGGTCTACGAGTAATTTTTGGCCGAGCCTACGGGCTCGGACACCCCACATTAAACTCGGCCTTGTGCCATATCTGACCACGTGTGGCGGTTGGTAGATATCCTGCAGTTGGAGATTCATTGTGAAATTTACTTGACTCACTTCGAACAGTTGACTACTTCTACGCATCGCTGGCGAATCTTATATGTGTTGTTCTTTTCCTAAGTATTATCGTGCATTACCAACCTTCGTTTGATTATTCTTTTCAGCAACCTTCCATAGGTTACAACAAGGTGCACACCTTGTTTCCTGTTTAGGATTGAGTTTCTTGTTCCTTCTAAAGTCTACTTTCACTCTATACTTCTAACGTTTCTAAATGAACTCTGAAATGTTATTCACTAATTCAATCCTGACTTCTTCAAATCTAGAATTAGTGCATCTTTGCTGCATAGCTCTAAGAACATCAATTTCTTCTGCTTATACAACACCATGGAGTAACCTAGTAACTTGAGCGGCTCTTGGGCCTTGAATTAGAGGAAATTAAAAAAAACTGTTACTCATAACTGTTTTGTACCTTTTTAATTATCTATATTTTATCTATTTATTAGTTGCTAGCTAAATATAATTATCATGTTCCACGCTATTTTATATATTAGGGTTGAAATGATGACGGTGTATGCCTTAAGTTTGATTGATTTTCTATGATTAATAAAGGAATTTAAAATATCTTCCTGTGTTTTCTCTTTCTTGTTGTAACAATTTATATAAAAAATAATATAAGTAAAATTTTTCTTCGGGTTGAAATTTATTCCTTTGGAAAATGTTCAATTCAATTTCTTCGAAATCTCTCTACTTCACGCCAGTCCATTAGAACTTGTTGTTCAACGTCTTCTAAAGGTTTTACTTGAGGAATACAATCAAAACCTGGAAGCAAAGAATTGTCAGCAATTAATGCAAGTATTATTTACAGAATAGTGCAATTAGAATTATATTGTAAACTAGCAGTAGAGCCCGGCGTTGCCCGGCGATGTAACAGTAAGAGATAGATCAAGTATCGACCATCATAAAGACTGAAAAGTAAAATTGACAAAGATTATTGTTTAAGGTTGACGGACACGCATGTCTTAATTGTTTTTTTTTTGTTTTGTTTTACGAATATTCTATTCAATCGGTAGACCCATTACGATTGAAAAGAATGTTTTGTTTGAGTTTGTGTTTGACCAATGTCAAACACAAACTCAAGCAAAAACATTCTTTTCAATCGTTATGGGTCTCCCGATTGAATAGAATTTTATTATAAACAATCGTCTTGTAAATGTAATTTGTAAAGCATTCTGAATGTAAAAATAAAGAAAAAAGTGTGCAAGACAATAAGAGACACTATCTGCCAAAAAAAAGTGAAGTTTTGTTGAAATCGGTAGGAAATCCGATCCCATATATAAACGAACACACACACACACACACACACACGAACAACCTAGGTTTTATAATAAGTATAGCTCGATATGAGTTGCCCCCTTTCATTCTCGCGATGACTCTTAATCGTGTTTTCAAATTGATTTTGTGCAAAAACAATTGTGTTTTTTCAATTTTTGGCGGTGTCAGAACCACCGCAAGGTAATTTTACGTAGTCCTGTGAAGTTTTGTTGAAATCGGTTGAAAAATGTAGGAAATCTGATCCAATATATAAACGTACAGACACACACACGCGTGGACACACACACACACACGCGCGCGCGCACACACACACACACACACACACACACAACCTGGGTTTTATAATAAGTATGATGTATTACTAATGTTGAAGGCATGCAATTACGTTCAAAATTTTTCGATTTCGGCATTAAATAACACGCAGGGGTTGATATACCGCTAAACAAAATCAAGCAAACCAACCATCAAGTTGGAGTGGGTCTTTTCAATGCTATTAGGCCTCATAATGACGACCCATTTAGATTTTGACGCGTCTTCTTTATAGTTTTTCTAGTTTTGCATAATTTTGTCTACTTTGCACAATTTATGCCACGTTATCCACTTCCTGGGACACAGACATCTAATAGATGCAAAATGGCTGACAATTGTCCCCTCCAAAAAAAAAAAAAAAAGCAGCATCTAAAAGTATATCGTTTTTATAGACACGTTGGGGAGGGGTGGGGGCGAACATACGTAATGAAGGGACTCCTAAATGTGTTTTATCTTCTTATATTGTCACGCTTTATGTAAAAATAATATAAGTAAAATTCTTCCTCGGGTTGAATTTTATTCCTTTGATAAAAGTTGAATTCAAATTCTTTGAAATCTCTCTACTTCAGCCCCGTCCAATACAATTTGTTGCTCAACATTTTCTAAAGATTTTGTTGGAGGAATAAAATCAAAACCTGGAAGAAAAGGATTGTCAGGAATTAATGCCAGGATTACTTACAGAATAGCGCAATTAGAAGTATATTATAACAGTATTACTGATGATTTTACTGTAAAAATTCATTGAAACTAAATTTACAGAAGAAATGCATTGTGAATGATTTTACTGTTGCAATTTGATTGATATTTTTAATCATTTTCACCCCAAATAAGGCAGTAAAACTACTAAGACACAAGAGGTTATTAAGAAAGAATTAGAAAACAGAAACATTATTAAACTTATTGAAGAACGAAAACAAGATGAGAGTAATCAGGAAGGCAGTAGGTAATGATTGTCATTGCATTTAAACTTTTGAAGATCAAAGTTAACTGGAAAGCATTCAGCCGAGAAGTGCGGGAGAAGAAAGTGTTAGCATAGAACTTACGGTTGCTTCTAGCCAGCTCAACTGTAAATTAATGAGACTTTGCTGCCGATCTTGTGCCGTTCTTAAATTCATAAAGTAAAGGTATGATAGTGAAGAGATCAAACCATGAAAGTCTTTATAGAAAAGACACAGAAAACCAACTTTACAGTGGTGGAAAAGGGACTGATGCTTCTCTATAGGAAAAAAATGGATTGTCAGTGGTCAGGAATTCATTTTTAGTTTTGCATAATTTTTGTCTATTTCGCTCAATTTTTGCTACGTTTACACTTCCTGCGACACAAACATATAATAGGCATATAATAGGCACAAAATGGTTGAATATTGACCCCCCCCGCACCCCTAAAAAAAATCATCTAAAAGTATATCGTTTTTATCGACACGGTCGGGTCGAACGTACATAATGAACGGACTCTTAAATATGTGAGGAGGCACGGTGGAGTAATGGATAGCGGCTTGGATTGAGGAATCGGAGAGCCGAGTTCGAATTCCAGTCGAATCCATTACATTCACTTACGTGCTAACACCCTTGGGAAAGGTGTAAATCCTCTTCTTCTCCCTCCAGCTATGGGTAAATAGCAGGACAAACTTGATTCTATAGCCTTGGATTGCAACTGGTCTAGGAGGAGGAAAACTCTGAATTCAAAACCTGCTCTTAGAGGAGGGTGAATGGAGTCTCTCTGAGCCTTGGTTGGCAATCCATTTAGTGTTGGTGTCACGATAAAAACACCCTTGATAGCCCTAGCGAAGCATCAAAAATTTAGCTATTTGACAAGATTATGAACTACACCAATCAAAGTATTAGCTATGACAGATGGAAAGGTGTAGTGAGTTCAATCTCGGCTGAGATGACTTAAATATGTTTTCTCTTCTTGGATTGTCACGCTTTATGTAAAAATAATATTGGGTTGAAATTTATTCCTTTGGAAAATGTTGAATTCAAATTCTTTGAAAGCACTCTACTTCACGCCCCATCCATTAGAACTTGTTGCTCAAGATTTTCTAAAGATTTTGCTGGAGGAATAAAATCAAAACGTAGAAGCAAAGAATTGTCAGAAATTACTTACAGATTAGCGCCATTAGAATTATATTGTAAATGTATTACTGATGTTGAAGGCATGCAATGACGTTCAAAATATTTCCATTTCGGCATTAAATAACCCGTAGGGGTTGATATGCCGCTAAACAAAATCAAACAAAGCAACAATCTAGCTGGAGTGGGTCTTTTAAATGCAATTGGGCCTCCTAAAGGCGACCCATTTAGATTTTGATGCGTTTTCTTTATAGATTTTTTTTAGTTTTGCTTAATTTTGTCTACTTCGCTCAATTTCTGCTACTGTTGTGTAGGAAACATACCACCCCTCTTGAAGATGAACTTGTCTACAAACAAAGACGTTAAATAGTGGCATGTCAAAAGACAGACAGAGTCGGAGAAGTTCTTGGCTGAGTTAGTTATAGACTACTCAGGCGATTTCTGTACCTACTTACCAACCGAATAAACCCCCTTTTATTGTTACGTGTTATTTGGCGTTTGTCTTTGTTAACCCCAAATCAACATCATAACAGCTACGTTTTACCATTTCTGGGACCCAGACATGCAATAGGCGCAAAATGGCTGAATATTGAACCCCCGCCAAAAAAGAAATAAATAAAATAAGCATCTTCTAAAAGTATATCGTTTTTATAGACACGGAGATGATGGGGTGACATGAAGTGTCTCCTAAATATGTTTTCTCTTCTTGTATCGTCATCGTTTATATAAAAATAATATAAGTAAAATTTTACCAAGTTGAAATTTAAAGATTTTACTGGAAGAATACAATAAAAACCAGAAAGAAATCGACTGATTACAAGGATTGCGTTCAAACATTTACATTTCGGCATTCAATAACCCATAGAGGTTAATATGCCGCTAAACAAAATTAACCAAAGCAACCATCTATTTAGTGTTTTTTTTTTAAATTCGATTGGGTGCCTTTAAGGCGACCCATTTAGATTTTTATGTGTCTTTTTATATACATATAGATTTTTTAGTTTTGCATTATTTTGTCTACTTCATTCAATTTTCCTCATTTTCACACTTCATTGAGCATAGACAGTTCAAAATTGCTCAATACTGTACAAATTAGACGTTATATGCCTCAAGTTGACTGCTTTTCTCTAATTAATAAAGAAATTTAAAATATCTTTCTGTGTTCATTTTTGTGGATAATGAATTTAAAAATTACTGTTGTATATTGTTAGACAGTGAAAAACCTAGTGGACTGCATCTACAGTAAAATGAAACACTACATGCCTGTAATTTGCACACAGTGTCGACAGTTACTAATAATCAATATATTATTCAATAAGGACTATTTTCTTTTCATTTTTTTTTAATCTTTATTTTTAATGCTTGGGTATTTAATAAGAAAAGAATAATTATACATTAATGAAAGAAAACGGCGGTCAGATATAAGGATAAACGGTGATGATAGCGAATCCTTTCAATGAGAAAAATCATTTTAAAAATAAAATATAAAGCAGGGAAATAAAGAAAGATTTAAATCTGAAAATTAAAGATCACCCGTTAAAAAGCGAAAGTGAAAGTGAAAGTAAAAATCGACTGAAGATACAGTCTCATCTTTTGACGAAAACAAGCAAAGTTGAGTGGAAAATTAACATCGAGAATTAATACTATTTTGAACAAATATAAAAACTAAAACAGAACGCAAAGCCTGGTGATTAGTTCGACTCGATTTTCTGGTGGTTCTCTAGGTTTATCTGGCGACACAAATAATTTACTCACGATTTGATGATAGAGTGCGTAGAGGGTGTGGCATAGAAATGTGGGAGAGAACGAAGAGATTTCTTTTAGAGATAGCTACACGGAAAAAGGATTACAAAGCTAATTTCAAAACTAAGATGAAAACGAATTTGTTTTTTAACTTCGTTTTCCCATGGGGAAAGAGATTTAAAATTAAAACAAAAGGATAATTAGGAAAAAAAGAAACAATGAAAAATGCACTATATATATATATATATATATATATATATATATATATATATATATATATATATATAAAAAGCAAGTGATAGCGATAGTGAGAAACATCGTTTAACGAAGAAATAAATAAATAGTTAATTTTCGAATGTCGTTTGAAAATATTTGTCTTGTCTTGTCGTCAATTTAAATGAAATATAATTGTAAGGGGAAATCTTCATTTCTTGTCTCTATGAATGGGATTGTTTTCTTTTTTAGGATGGTTGTTTTTTTTTTTTTCTCAGCTTGTTTGCCACGATTGTCGCTTGTAATAAAAAAAATGCTGATAACAGTCGTTAATTTCATCTTGATCGGCGCACCACCTTTACATTTCCAGGACCCAAAGATGCAAAAGATTGCAAGAGAACTGTGCTTTTGTTCACGAATAATACATATAAAAATTATATTCTGTCAGTAACGTTTGGATTGGTTTATAACTATTGAAAATCCGTTCCAACCTGATTTTCAATACATCTTTATAATAACGACATTATCAATGTATTAAAAATCTATCTATCTATCTATCTATCTATCTATCTATCTATCTATCTATCTATCTATCTATCTATCTATCTATCCGTCTGTCTTTCTGTCTGTCTGTCTATCTATCAATCTTATTTATTATAATTTTTCATATAGACAAAAACAATTTACTCACTACAAAGCTGCTACCTCGTTTCGGTGCATTTAGTTGCACCTCGACTGGTGAGAACCAAAAGGGTTATGAACAAATCTGTTTGTAAGCAAGCCGCTTGTGGGACATCACTTCCTTTTTTTCTATTTGTTTGAAAAAAAAAAGGGAAACATTTTAAGAGGGGAAGTATAAGGGTAAAGAAAAGATAAGGGAGGCAAAAAGGATGACAGATTGAGACAATATTACTTGTTGATAGCAATTTGTTGAAGGATTATTGAAGATGTTAAAATGATGGTTTGAATTACCTCAACAATCATTCACCAACAAAGTTACATCTTTGTAGAGAGTTAATTGTTAATTATTGCTATACTCTCGGTATTGAGCTCTCTTTTGAATTAAGGCTGTGAACATTAGAGTCTATATATTATTTTCTTTCTCATTACATTCGGATATCTATCTATCTATCTATCTATCTATCTATCTATCTATCTATCTATGTCCTTATCTCTCTATATCAGTATGTCTTTTATCTCTTTATCTATCTATCTATCTATCTATCTATCTATCTATCTATCTATCTATCTATGTTCTTATCTACTTATATGTCTATCTCTCTAACTCACTATATTCTTATCTATCTATATCAGTATGTCTTTTATCTATCTATCTATCTATCTATCTATCTATCTATCTATGTTCTTATCTACCTATCTATCTCTCTAACACACTATGTTCTTATCTATCTATATCAGTATGTCTTCTATCTATCTATCTATCTATCTATCTATCTATCTATCTATCTATTCATCTATCTATCTACTCGACCCTCCCATCGAATTCGACCTATGAAGGTCAAGCAGATCAGTTCCTAGTAAAGTGATGATGGTTTTTTTATTTTGTTGAAGGGCTGAATACACAGACCTCGTGCACTACGTGCCACAAGGTCGGTCCCCAAACGACCCTTCGCAGGTTTTAAATTCAGAGTTGTCCTTCTCTTAAGCGAGTTGCCATCCAAGGCTATAGAACCCAGTCTTTCCTGCTATTTACACATAGATGGGGGGGAGAAGAAAAGGATTCACACCTTTCCCAAGGGTATTAGCACGTAAGTGAATGCAATGGATTCCTCTGAATTCGAACTCTGCTATATATATATATATATATATATATATATATATATATATATATATATATATATATATATAGAGAGAGAGAGAGAGAAGAGAGGAAGGACGGTGGTATATATATATATATATATATATAAGACCAACATGCCAAAACCCCGTCAAACATGCCAAACCCTTCACAGTTTACTCTTTATCTTGTGTTTATACCTGAGCAACTGCCGTTCAACAGTCCTTTGTCCTTTGCTGAGCTGTTTATACCTGGCGACATTATATATTTGCCGTCACTGAACCTTGCAGCATGAGAAGCCTAGCAAAATTGTGACTACACAATTATATATATATATATATATATATATATATATATATATATATATATATATATATATATATATATTCCAGGTAGAACTCAATGTCCAGGACAGAGTATGAATATAATATAAAAGGGTCAAACACTAATATTCATTGATTATAATTTATTACACTGGAATCGTAATCACGATCCAATACATCAGACCTACAAATTCAAATTTGTTCAGTTGGTATGACGTTAGCCTGATATCGTAACTGACCGGTTTTCAATTCTCGGTAGTGGATGCGCATTGCTGATGAGTCCCAAATATAGGACGAAACGGCCGTCCAGTGATTTCTGCGTTCTGTTGAGGTTTCTTCTGGACTGGGTGAATTACTTAATAATAATTATCTCAAATCCTCCTAATAATTTCTATCATATATATATATATATATATATATATATATATATATATATATATATGTAAACTTTCTCAGAGTTAATCTGTAGAAAACGACAATATTTAAAATTGTAAAAGACAGTAGGAAATATTAGCTGACGCGTTTCGTCCAATGTGTACTTTTTCAAGAAAAACACGAAAATTTACATATAGCTTAAGTTATATCCTGTTTATAAAACAGCCTAGGCTAGATTAGCCCCATTCATTTGGGTGGATGTATACTAGGGGCAGTTACACAGGAATCGTTCTTTTATAATTGAATATCCAAAATATCTAAAGTCATAAACCAATGAAAAGAATTTTATGCATGAATAACTTTTGATCAGCCTTAAATCTAACTGTAACTCATAATAGTTTTGTGTTTTGCTATTTCTTTTTTTATTGTATACTGTATATATTATGTGTTATATATATGTATATGTTACCTGCTATATTACATCTCAAACTTGAATTATTGGCTATACTTGATAAAGAAATTTAAAATATCCAACAAACAATACTAAGTCGGAGTTCATCCCCGATCATTGCAACGTGGAACGTGGAACGTGTCAAGTGTATACCTTATTTTCAAGAATGCGGGCGGGAACTCATCAACGCCACAGTATACACCCACCAGATACCTCAATATCGCTAACAAACATTTTGAAGCTATAATCGACAAGAAATTTGTTGATCACCTCAATAGAGGCACATTATTGAGCGACAAACAGTACGTGTTCCGATCGTATCGGTCCACTGCTGATATCCAATTTGCAATTAGTCACAGAATCAGTGAGGCACTAGACAACAAGGAGAATCGGAATAGACATTTCAAAGGCTTTTGACGAGGTGTGGTATAAAGGATTACTGCACAGGCTCTCTAGCTATTGGATAACTGGAACTGTTTTCTCAGTTATTAAGACTTTCCTCACGGGAAATGGCTGTAATTTGAACAACGTGTGTTGATATCAAGAAAAAAAATCCTCACTAAAAAGCTTAACAAAAATTTGGATTGAAACAAGAATTTCTGTTGGGCTTTTATTAGGATGTTCGGAGAATAATGTCCGATTTTAGTATCAACTTTTATCCCTGAATTAATTTATTTGAACAGTATTTAAATCTGTCAAAATAGGAACCCTGGACGTCTATACATTTCTACCATTGAGTTAAAAGGTTATTTATGCTTTTATGATAAATCTAAAGATTTGGACTCTAAGAAATATTTAAATGTAGAATGTCTTTTGGCTTAATAACTGTTATGGGAACTTACCCATAATAATAATGGGCTATTCCTGACATTATAAATACTGTGCCTCTCAAGAGGTATGAGGACGTTGTAAGACGAGGAGAGATAATTGAGAGCATATTGTAAGGACATTGGAATAGAGATACTTGTCGAGACAACATAGTTCACTCTAACCAAATTTGATAGTCATTACTAATACTTTTACTTCTTTGTATTATATTTCTGTTGTAATATATGTTTGTATTCCATACACCGTGGTACCAGGAACTTGGACCATAACAAGTGGCGACAAGGAAACCCTAGAAAAAAACAAAAAACAAAAACTAACTCTCTACTCGGAGGACATATCTTTTTGCTATCCGTCGCACATAACAAGTGGCGACGAGGTAACCCAAGAAACCAACTCTCTACACGAAGGACATTGGAATAATGATATTTGTCGAGACAACATAGTTCACTCTAACCAAATCTGATAGTCATTACTAATACTTCTTCTTCTTTGTATTATATTTCTGTTGTAATATATCTTTGTATTCCATACCTGTGTTCGTGTTATTCTTTCATTGGTTCTAACCATAAACCATCACCGTGGTACAAGGAACTTGGACCATAACAATATATATATATATATATATATATATATATATATATATATATATATATATATATATATATATAACTTATCAAAATGCTTGAAAAAAAGAAGTAGTCAGGAGATCAACGGGAATATGGCGGATGAGGCAAAATCTCGTATCAAAAAGTCGGTGAGCTGCAGTACTACCGTGTCAACATGTGGCCGGGGATTGGCCAGTACTGGTCAAAATTTGCTTAACTGAATGTACATTTCATCCAGTTTCTGACAGTAAATTTTGGCAGTGATGCTCCTGGTTAGATTCCAGAAAGCTGTAATAGATAAAGCTAATGGCGGAAAACCAAACGGTCATTATAATCTTCTCTGGACGAGATTCCGGTTTTGGAAAGTGTTCGGGTCCTTTGTCATGATCAAGCCACTGAGCTGATCGTCTACGATTGTCGTAAAGGATCCATTTCTCATCACAAGTCATTATTTGATCAAGGAATTGGTCATTCGAATTTAGTAGATGCAGCGTGGAACACACTTGAAAACGTCAAACTCTTTGACTTTCAGTGAATTCACAAGAAGCCGTTTATCGAGTTTCTCCACATTGCCAATTTTCTTGGGACGGTCAGATTTTGTTGAAATGCAGACACTTATTATCTGAAGCATTTCTCCGAAACTTTGACGTGAGTTTTGTTCGACTAGTCTTTTCAGATGACAAGTAAATCCCTCATCTCATTCTCTGTTAATGGTGCAACACTTTGAGAAGATTTATAACCAAGCTTTAAATCATGGAAAAACGTAAACGCCTCATTTATTTTTTCATGTTTAAGAGGAGGGGGATACAATGTTTTAAATTAAATTCTGAAAGAGATTGATATCAAATTAACAAAGAGGACACTTTACTCATTAGAAATGAGTAATATATTTTTGGGCAACTATTAGAATGATATATTTGAAGACAATTAAAAGGTCTGTTCGAAAATTCGACAATCTTTTCCAAACAACCTAATTGCATTTTCTATTGTATATAAAGGGTGCGTCAAATATTTGAGAACACAATTCTGAAAGAGATTGATATCAAATTACCAAAGAGGTCACTGTAATCATCAGGAATGAGTTATATATTTTGAGGCAACTATTATAATAATATATTAGAAGACAATTAAAAGGTCTATTCGAAAATTCGACAATCATTTCCAAACAACCTAATACCATTTTCCACTGTATATAAGGGTGCGTCACATATTTGTGAACACAATTCTGAAAGACATTGATATCAAATTAACAAAGAGGACACTTTACTCATCAGAAATGAGTAATATATTTTGGTGCAACTATTATAATAATATATTAGACAATAATTTCCGTACAAACGTAGTATTTTAATAAATAAGTTGAAACAGACTAGTCGAAATGGACTAATTGATTATGGTATTCTAAGAACATTTTTATCTGAATGGATTAAAGTTCACTTTTTATCAAAACGGTAATTCCAAGGTCAAAGTTGTGTGCACGGACTTGTGAATTGTTATGCTTAACATTTTTAACAATGTTCGAACATTTTTTGTTTAAATCTCGGGATATTTCTCCGATGTTATATGATTGGTATGGCGACATTCAGTTTAGTAAATAGTACACAAACACACACACACACACACATATATACATTTGTGTATTTAGGTAGCAATACTTCTTTCACCCACATTTCATTTAATACGACAGACAAGGTGCTTTGATATAGTGTTTTTTTTTGTTCAGTTCGAATTTCCAACCACCTGAAGAAGGCCGAAACGTTGTAATAGATATGACGACAAATAGTCCGAATAATGTAACAGGACAATAGTCCGAATAATGTAAATAAAGTTGTTTTTTTTTTTTATACAATTTCTCATTTCTTTCCTTTTCAGATGATAAATTATATAAAAACTGTCCGAAAGTTCTTTTTTTTTCCTAGCGCTTTCGGCTATCCATTTAATAATGGAATAAAAAATATATATATATAAATATAATAGAAGCCTTTAATAAAAACAAAAACAAAAACAAAAAAAAACAACACTCAATAATATCATCTATGAACTGGACACAATAACTTGACCGTGTTTTGAAAAATGAAAACATTATATAAATACATACATGCAACAAACTATTTCTTATTTATCAGTTTAAATATTTATTCCTTGAAAATGGTTAAATGTATAGCCGAAAGCGCTCGGATAAAAAGAACATTCTGACAATTTTTATATAATTTATTAAAAAGAATATTAGATCACATGAGAAATTGTATAAAAAACTAAATCAAAGCACCATGTCTATCGTATTCAATGAAATGCCATATATATATATATATATATATATATATATATATATATATATATATATATATATATATATATATATATATATATATATATATATATCGTCGTCGGCATCCGTCCGTCTCGAGAGACCATGGAGTAGCGCGGTGCGCTACGAGCCTGGGCGGGATATATGGAGAACGAGGGCCGCCCGGACGTCTAGTTCCCTCTCTCGGCCTTGCTAGCAGAGTCCAAAGGGGAGGATAAACCAATACAGTTTGTATACCAAACTACCGGAAGGTAGCACAAAGTGCCGTCCATCCGCTTTACGGGCACCACTCCGGGTTTGAATTCAGAGTTGTCCTTCTCCTAGACCAGTTGCCATCCAAGGCTATAGAACCCAGTCTGTCTTGCTATTTACTCATAGCTGGATGGAGAATAAGAGGATTTACACCTATCCCAAGGGTATTAGCACATAAGTGAATGTAATGGATTCGACTGGAATTCGAACTCGGCTCTCCGATTCCAATCAAAGCAGCTATCCATTTTTCCACCGTGCATCCTCTCTCTCTCTCTCTCTCTCTCTCTATATATATATATATATATATATATATATATATATATATATATATATATATATATATATATATATATATATATATATATATATATGGATGATGGAAAGAAAAACAAAAACAAAAAGAATATAAATGATTTCGGCTCGATTGAAAAAAATTTTTTCAATAATATTCTGCTTCTATCGTTTCGTGCGCATATGTAGACGTGCCAGCATCAACAAAGCTTAGTCTATATATATATATATATATATATATATATATATATATATATATATATATATATATATACACATGCTGATTGAAAAGTAAGGTACATCTACTGAATGTTCGATACTTAGGATTTAAAATGAATTTTTTAAAATGAAAAAAGCATTCTTGAAGATTTCATTTTAGCTTTAATTGAAAGCTAAATGATTAAATTTACTATTTCTAGTAAGTAAAATATTCTGGTGTATTTCAAATAATATAGATCGGGATCTGAACTTTTTCGCCGATTTCAGAAAATGTTTTAAAAAGCAGCCATTTACTTAATTTTAAGAAATTTGTAAACAAAACAAAGTTATAGGTTTTAAAAATCTTCCAAAAATGAAATATATATTTGTGACACGTTATTTGAGTTCAGTTAGCAAATCTAAAGTTAAATTAATCTGATTTGAAATAAATATTACTGACTTATAGCACAAAAAACTAATATACAGCCATTTCTTATCGATGGGTCCTGTTTTCTTTAATCTTTATTGACGTATCGATGTTCTAAGGTGACGACGTTTAATATGGATGACCAGAATGAACATAAATTTACGAAATCTAAGTGAATGCCCATTTTTGGTTTTTAACTACCTAGTAATGTTTACAAATGTACATATTTTCAGCAGTTATTTAATATTTTATTGACTTTTAGTTAAATTTCAAGATTTTTTTAATGAAATTTGGCTTTGTTCTTGTTAAGGGGTCCACCCCTTTTTCGTACAAGTGGACTCGCCCAGTGTGTACTTGTACTGCTGCCGGTGAATACCCGGGAGTTATACAGTGAGAGTGTGAGGTAACCGCTTTGTAGGAGTCACAGTTGCGAGCACGTAGACTCAGAAGGAAGTCATACTTCGATACTGAATTTCCCAGACTGTATATATATTGTTATTGCTACTAACCGCATTTTCTGGATCTACTAATCGTATTACCAATTGTATTATTACGTCAATACATTTATTTGCTATATTTGATTCCTGCGTTTGTCATTCATTTGAGACCGGATTTCATCCCGGAATCCTAAACAGTTCTCTAGTTTCTTAAGTTTATTAATTTAAAGAAAATATTACTTAATTGAAGTATGAGCCAAACTAAAATAAATACATAAAATAAAAATATTTATTAAAATAGTAATTAAAAAAAAATCGGCTTGAAATTTTGAACGGATGATTTGCAAAGACGTTAATGTTGAAAGAGACCTTGATAATGAAATTGGAAGAATTCCAAAGCGCCAGACGACTCTTAAATCATGTGAGCTTTTAAAGGAAAATAGCATTTTTGGCTTACCATAGTTAGAAATTGGGAAAGTTTCTGCACTAAAAAATAAAAAAAAAATAATGGGATACAAACGACTGTTATGAGATTTTCAATTTTTGATTCGTAAATGTACTCTTCACTTAACCAAACAACCGCCTTCAAGGATTGCAGAATTTTAAAGGATTTTTTTATATTATAAATTAAATAATTAAAATTTTAAAAAATGAAAACATTTCTTCTTAAAATCCATTCATTGAAAAATTTTTTTTCTTAAGACAATAGCGTCCTTAATAAATCTTATTTATCAAAGAAGTTAAAGGCTTTTCGAATTAAATAATGTCAAAGATTCATGGCATTTTTTATTTTACAATTCAGAGTAGATTTTCAGTGAAAAGGGTAACTGTTTTACCAAAAAATTTTGAAGATTTACTATCTCCAAGGAGTCCTGCTTTAAATTCCCGCCCCAAAAATTGAATTTCTCGAAATTTCATGAAATTAAGTAAGTGGTTGATAATATATGTAAAAAAAAAAAAAAATATCAATAATATTCTAAAAAGTAAAAATTCAAAAATAATTTCATTCATTTCTAAATATGTTCTGAAAATGTCATTCATATTCGACAATTATTTGATTTTTGCAAGAATTTCCAAATAAATGTGTTTTTCATCGGGAAAAATAATAATAATAATAATAATAATAATAATAATAATAATAGTAAATAACCTTTATCATTACGTCGGCCGCTGACGTAAACAAAACTAGATTTTTAACTAAAATTTCGAGCATGCTAGAAAGTATTACAAATTTTCAACAAATAATAAAAAATACTCTCGTTCTTTCTCTTAATAATAGCATAAACATTTTGATGACAAAACTGTTGTCATCAAGTTTGGGACTTATTTTTAATCATGCTATGCTTTTTTTCCACGAAAAGGTGGACAACCTATTGAAAAGTAACACCCTATTCTATATACGATAGACTCCCACGTCTTGTAAAAAAATAGTTAGACGGGAATGTCTATCATACATAAAATAGGGAGTTATTGTTCAATCACCATATATATATATATATATATATATATATATATATAAAAAGGCTTAAACACTAATATTCCATGGACATAATTTATTCCACTGGAATCGTAAATACGATCCAATTCATCAGACTCCACTAATATTATCTATCTATCTATCTATCTATCTATCTATCTATATATATATATATATATATATATATATATATATATGAAAGGACGAGTTTATGGTAGTTCCAACGAGAGAAAAATGTGTCTATTAAAAAGAAGAGAAAAACCGCAAAGGTTTGTGGTTGTAACACAAATGTCTTTCTTGAGTCACTAATACAAAAAAAAGAGAATGTCTCATATCGAGAATATTTAACATCGAAAAAAAAAATGTAAAAAATTAATTATTTTTAATAATATGTGGAAATCTCCACCCTTTGTCTGATGACGGTCGCGAGACCGAAACTCGTGTAAATATTTTATAAAAATCCACATTATAACCAAAAACGTTTGCGGTTTCTCTCTTCTTTTATATATATATATATATATATATATATATATATATATATATATATATATATATATATATATATATATATATATTGATTTTACCTTTTTATTTATCTGTTTATATATAAACGATATTCTTAGTAAAGCTGGGAATCTCTCCGTGAATTTGCTTTCCTTGCCAGTTTTTTTCCTTATTCTTCTTACATATATCTGTATATACAACCTTGAAGTAAACTAATTCCCTTTTGAGTTTATCGACAGAGCGGATATGAAAGGGATCCCAATATCTCTTTTCCGGAATCGGGAGCCCAATGACATCTGGTTCTTGACGCGGCTTACCTCCGGCAATTTCCGACGAGGCAACCGATCCATCTCCTTTCTCGGAGTGTCTTGGTTACATCCGCCGAAGTTGGACCGTAATGCCTTCGATAGAAACGTGGCAAAAAAAATACTTAAACAGGAATAGAGCGAATGAGGAAAACGTGTGTAAGAGAAGAAAGATGGATGGACAAAAATACGACACAGTTATCTATCTATCTATCTATCTATCTATCTATCTATCTATCTATCTATCTATCTATCTCAGTCTCTTCATTATCTATCTATCTATCTATCTATCTATCTCAGTCTGGTCATATCTATATATCTAAGCCTGTTTATATCTATATATCTATGTATCTCTGTATGTATGTATGCATCTTTTTTAAACATTTTTACATCTATCTATCTATCTATCTATCTATCTCTCTTCATTATCTATCTATCTATCTCAGTCTGTTCATATCTATCTATCTATCTATCTATCTATCTATCTATCTATCTATCTATCTATCTATCTATCTCATTCTGTTCTATCTCATCTATCTATCTATCTATCTATCTATCTATCTCAGCCTGTTCATATCTATCTATCTATCTATCTATCTATCTATCTATCTATCTATCTATCTCAGCCTGTTCATATCTATCTATCTATCTTTCTATCTAAGCCTGTTTATATCTATATATCTATGTATCTCTGTATGTATCTATCTTTCTAAACCTGTTTACATCTATCTATCTATCTATCTATCTATCTATCTATCTATCTATCTATCTAAGCCTGTTCATATCTATATATCTATGTATCTCTGTATGTATGTATGTATCATTCTAAACATTTTTACATCTATCTATCTATCTAACTATCTATCTATGTCTTTTTATATCTATCTATCTATCTATCTATCTATCTATCTATCTATCTATCTATCTATCTATCTATCTCAGTCTTTTTATATCTATCTATCTATCTATCTATCTATCTATCTATCTATCTATCTATACAGGTGGTATCAAAAATAATTTTACAAACTTTGGTGCCGGGTTCCGCACACCAAAACAACGACAAATGTCAACAAAAATATATGTCAATAAATCCTTCGTTTTTGACTTATTAAGTTGACGGTAAACTGACTGTCGCCTCTAAGTGTTAACTTCTATTTTCACTTATATATATATATATATATATATATATATATTAGGTGGTGAAAAATAATGTCGTTTTTGACGTTCAACTTAACGTCAAAAACGGCTTTATTTTTTGCACCAACCTAATATATATATATATATATATATATATATATATATATATATATAAATTCATGAATTATTCACACAAAAACAAATGCAAAGGTTAATGATCTAATTGGCGAGAAATCCATCGTCGCAAACAATTCAAATAATATACAAAACCTCCGAATCCGTTATGAATGAAAAGATCCTTGTTTCTATAAATTTCTGCCGCATTAGTTCTTATTTTTACTACAAGCTTTCGTCTGTTCCTACAGACATCTTCAGGTATGGAATAGATGTTGTTCTTGTTTTTTCTCTTAGTAATAAGAGGACAACGAAAATATATGTATTGTTGTATCCGAAAATGCTATTGAAAATGAGTTATTGATTTTGGAGCGTGCAATAGCAACGCTGAGTTTGATTTAAAATTTTTTACAGTTGTGCGTTCATGTACAAATATGGTGATAAACGAATTTTTTACTGGTAAATTTTCTGTTAAAGTGGCATGAACTATATTGTTCAATAATTACAGTAATGTCGCACTTATTATACAAAAGTCGCACTTGGATCAGTTATTTTAATTTCAATAAACGTGCAATATATTTGTGTATTTTAATATATTTTATTGTTATACGTTATTCATATAGACAGAAATATTTAAGTAAATGCTCTGTTTATAATAAACAGTCATTTACCGGCCTGAATGTCCCAGAAATTTCATAGAGAATATGCGTCCACCGATAGGAATCGAACCTTTATCTTACACGGAACCGTCATATAGCCTAACGTGCTAAACCAGTTTCGCTATGAATGAAGCTTTTGGTTAGAAAAGTCGAATAAAGCTACAAACTATCAAACTTTAAGCTACAAACTATCAGTTTTGCCTAACTGCGGACATATATATATATATATGAATTTGATCTAATTTTCTAAAATAAAATATATATATATATATATATATATATATATATATATATATATATATATATATATATATATATATATATATACTGGGTGTAACAGCAAATTGTACAATTGTTTGTTTAAGCTTCGAACCGTTTTATCTTAGAAATGATTAAAGATATCTTACTGGATTTTCCGAGATTTTTATAACATTATTGGTCTGTACTTCAAAAAAATAAGAACATATTTAGCTCTAAGTTGAAATGATGATCCCTCTTCCTGTTGTGACCTCCTGATCTATTTTTCCTCTCTACTGTTCCCTCTTTCTTTTTTTTTTAACTTATTCACAGTTCTCTTCATGGTTCTTGAATGGACTTTGAAAATGGAAGCCAGAGTTTGAATGTTGGTACCATTACTGAAGGCCTGAAGGTTTTTTTCCCGCTCACCACTGTTCGGTTGGGAAGACATAGTCGGGTTGGCACAGAAGGGTTTTAACCTGTTTTCTTTCTAGCTGAGTAACTCAAAGAGTTTTTCAGTGATTCTTACACCAAATGGTGTCAAGATAGCTAAGCGTCTTATCTGAAAACCTGGAAACTCTATTTAGTAATTTTTTAAAATATTAAACATTTTGTGGGATGGATAATTATCCAAACCGTTAGAAGATTTTGACAGTTTTGCTGTTACACCCGTTTTATCTATCTATCTATCTATCTATCTATCTATCTATCTATCTATCTATCTATCTATATATATATATATATATATATATATATAGAGAGAGAGAGAGAGAGAGAGATGTGTGCGTGTGTGTGTTTGTGCACGTGGGTGTACACTTGTTTAATCATGCTGCTTACCTGGCTACGACCTTTTTAAAAGCTGAGTGCAATCGGTAAAATGAAGTGGATATCGTAAACGCAGATAACCCAAAAATGAAAGTGAAAGTGAAAGTACTTTGTAATCAATCAACCCCTTTCCGTTTAGTGGATTCATTAAGCCTTCTTTTTCTTGCCTGTCAAGATATTTGTATTTGCTGTCTTTTTGCTTCGAAACCTTTTATTTCTCCAGCTGCCATTGAACATTCATCTTGTTTTTGACTGGTGAATATTCTTCTTTGTGGTGTACTCTGTCTTCTTTGTCTGCTCGCTGTTCCGATGAGAACTTAAAATGCTATTTTTCCAATCATCAACTCGCTTTTACTACGCACTTTGGGAAAAAAGAAACTTTACTTATAACTAATTTGTTTAGTTATTTATTTAGAATCTTTAAAGAAAAGAAACATTTATGCTTTGCGAAATATGTTTTTTTTTCCATTTTCCATATCATATTTTTGCTTCAACTTTTTCATTGACGTTGAAGACACGATTATTTACATATGGACATAACTTCATTCCATGATCAGAATATAGGTGCGCTCTTTTCAGGATTTGAGAGTGGTGCACATGCCGTTGATTGGAGTTGCATGAAAATATACACAATATATACATATATAAATACATGTTGCGCTTTATGAATCATAAATTATATACACCCCTCTCTTAACAATTCATATCTATCTATCTATCTATCTATCTATCTATCTATCTATCTATCTATCTATCTATCTATCTATCTCAGTCTCTTCATATCTATATCAGTTTCTTCATATCTATCTATCTATCTATCTATCTATCTATCTATCTATCTATCTTTATTTAGCAGATAGATAGCTACTAAGAATCAATATAGATTTGTAACTCACCGTTTGTTACATTTAATTTCATACACATACCAATCTTGAAGCACCTGAAACAGATATTTGTAATATGTCAATATTCAATTATTCATAATCATAACTCATGCTACTCACCTGTCCCTATCTATCTATCTATCTATCTATCTATCTATCTATCTATCTATCTATCTATCTATCTATCTATCTATTTTCTCCAATCTATCTACTTCTGTTCCTTTCTCTTCTCTCATATCTATCTATCTATCTATCTATCTATCTATCTATCTATCTATCTCCCGTTACCATGAACATATGACAGTTATCCGAAGCTCACAATATTCTATTTCTCAAGTAGTAGACTTTAGGTTCATGCCTCTGTTTGGCACCATTAATGAAGAATTGGTTGCGGAATATATCATGTTGATTTGAAACGCCTTTTGAGCAAAATTGAGTTGACGGTCCATTGATGGTTGCATGAAATTGTTGTTATTATTGTATAAAACTTTTGCAATCAGTTTTCGGCATTAAATGATCCCCAAAGAGGTTGAACAAACTAATCAAAACGAAATGTAACAACTCTGTCGAATATCTAAAAATCTATACAGCCTTAAGGCCACATCTCATTGAAACACCGTTTCTCGTACGATAACCATCACCGAAGGTAAGCAAGGGCGAGCCTGGTCAGTACCTAGATGGGTAACCTCTTGAGAATACCAGATGCTGTAAGCTTGGATGTGCGGGTGGCGTAATGTGTAATCAGTCGCGTTTCATTTCCTTTGGTTCGTTATATTTAATTCACGTATTCCCCCAACTATGGGTTAATAAGTAAGACTTGTGTAACTAAACCATTAAATATTTTCTGGCTTTAAATAACCTGCAAAATGTTGATAAGCCGTATAAAATGAATGAATGAATCAAGGAAATACTGATTAGCTAGGCATGCGTGTCTTTTAGATTTATTTATATTCTCTAGAATATAAATATATAGAACCATACCGTGATCACAAAGTGAGGGATCAGTTCACGTATTCATTGTAATTTAGAATTGATCCCCCTCTTTATGTACTCAGTATAAGTTCTTGCTTGCTGATAAGCCGTAGAAAACGAATCAATCTGCTAAGAAATACAGATTAGCTACACAGGCGTCTTTTTAAAGACTTATTTGCATTCTGTGGGATATAAATGTATAGAAACTAGAATGTGCACAAATTGAGGGATCAGTTTAAATATTAATTGTAATGTAGAATTGATCCCCCACTTTATGTCAGGAGTATCATTTCTTGCTTGTTAAGCTGTAGAAAACGAATGAATCTGCCACTGGAATATTGATTAGCCACACAGGCCTGTCTTTTAGAGTTATTTACATTCTCTGGAATATAAATGTATAGAAATTAGAGTAGCCTCAATCTGAGGGATAAGTTTACATATTGACTGTAATGTAGAATTGATTCCTCACTTTATGTCCACAGTATAATTTCTTGTTTGTTGCTAAACTGTAAAAACGAATCAATCAATCAATCAATGAAATACCGATTAGCTACACAGGCATGTCTAGATTTATTTACATTCTCTGGAATATAAATATATAGAATCTGCCGTGATCACAAAGTGAGGGATCAGTTTATATATTGATCCTAATAAAGAATTGGTCTCCCATTTTATATCCACATTATAATTTCTTGTTTGTTGATAAACCGTAAAAAAACGAATCAATCAGTCATTGAAATACTGATTAGCTACACAGAGACGTCATTTGAATTTATTTACATTCCTTAGAATCTAAATATATACAACCTACTGTGAGCACAAAGTGAGGGATCTGTTTATATATTGATTGTAATGTAGAATTGATCCACAAGTTCATATCCATATTAAAATTTGTTTATCAAATTCTGATTAAGTGCGAAATTACCTCTTGTTTCCCCTGCTATGGGTTAATTTATGAGACATATATCACTAAATCATTTTTATCCCAAAATTCTTACAATCTAAAAATGACGTCTGGCTTTAAATAACCTGCAAAGGGTTGATAATCCGTAGAAAACGAATCAGTCAATCAATGAGATGTCTTTTAAAGTTATTTACATCCCCTAGAATATAAATGTATACAAACTACCATAGTCACAAAGTGGGGGATTATTTTATATATTGATTGTAATGTAGAAGTGATCCCCGAATTTATATCCACATTATAATTTTTTTTATCGAATTCTGATTAAGTATGAATCCACCTCTTCTACCCCCCCAGCTATGGGTTAATTTATATTTTTTGCAATATAAATGTATAGCAACTAGTGTAGTCAGAGTTAACAGTAGTTTTCCCAAGGGTATTTGCACTTAAGTAAATATAACGAAACCATCGGGAATTGGAACTCGGCTCTCCGATTAACAATTCGAAGCCGTTATCCATTACACCACCCGCACACCCGAACTTACAGCATTCGGTATTTCCAAGCGGTCACTCATTTACGTACTGACCAGGCTTGACGTTGCTTAACTTTGGTGGTTGTACGGTGGAATAATGGATAGCGGCTCGGATTGAGAAATCGGAGAGTCGAGTTCGAATTCCAGTCGAATCCATTACATTCACTTACGTGCTAACACGCTTGGGAATGGTATGAATCTTCTTCTTCTCCCCCTCCCCCCAGCTATGGGTAAATAGCAGGACACGCGGGGTTCTGTAGCCTTGGATGGCAACTGGTCTACTGCAGAAAGAAATACCCTTGTTAATACCCTTGGGAAAGGTATGAATCCTCTTCTTACCCCAGCTATGGGTAAATAGCAGGGCAGACCGGGTTTTATAGTCTTGGATTGCAACTTGTTTACCGCAGAAAGAAATTGCAAGCTACTGTGGGAAAAAATCTGCCTTGTCAGTCATGTATCGAAAGATACATGATCACCTAAGCGTGTATCACGCATGGCACATAACTGGCTGACTGATGGGGTCTGCTGATTCAACGTGATGTGTCCGTAAAGCCATCCTAGGTCACCCCATCTAGGTACTGACCAGATTCACATCTGGAGGAGAAACGTTTATCAAAAATTCATATTTCGTGGATGTAACTTTCTTTTTCATTACCGATTCTTGTCTTGATGACAGACTTGCAAAAACCGTCAGTGAAATTTTTTTTTCTTTTTTGCGCGTGCGCCAATCATCGTTTCGTTTCGGTCTATTTCGCCAACGCTAAATTGGATTAAAATTCGACCCGGCGAATAAAGCACTTTTAACCTTTGCTTCATAAGAAAACCTAACGTATTTTTAGGTGAAAAGTTCGAACATGATGTAGCCGTGATATTGATCATTCATGAAAAAAAAACAAAAAAAAAAAAACAAAAAAACAATGAAATAAGTGAATTTTTGAAAAATTAAATCTAATGAGTATATATATATAGAAAAGAAATTAGTTGCATTGGCCAAGGTATTCTCGCATGCATTATTAACAAAACTGAATCATTATATTATAATGTATATAATGTAAAGTCATTGGTAATAATTTTATTTGAAAGCATTGATAATCAGGGAGAAAGGGATGGTTATTGGCCAGGAATGAATGCAAAAAAAATATTGATAGAATGGTGATATCATATCATAAAAAATACATCTCTATTTATTTCTTAATAACAATGCATTGAGAATCAGGAAAAAAGGGATTGTCAGTGGTCAAGAATGAATGCAGCCATTATAGGTAGAATAAGGCTATTATATACATAATGTAAATGTATTGCCAATGATTTTACTATGGGAATGCATTGATAATCAGGAAAAAAGCGATTGTCAGTGGTCAGGAATGAATGCAAGCATCACTGATAAAAAAGAGCTATTGTATATATACAATATGTGGTCAGGAATGTATGGAGGCATTACTGATAGAATAAGGCTATTATATACATAATTTAAATGCATTTCTAATTGTTTTACTATAGGAATGCATTGATAATCATGAAAAAAGGGATTGTCAGTGGTCAGGAATGAATGCAAGCATTACTGATAAAAAGAGCTATTGTATATATGCAATATACATATACATAACATTGTATATAATGTAAACAGTTTGCTAATGATTTTACTATACAAATTCCTTAGAAATCAGGAAGAAAGGTTTGGTCAGTGGTCAGGAATGGATGCTGGGATTACTCATTTAATAGGGCTAAATGAAAACAACACTGACATCTTATTTTAACAGATATATTTACCTAAATTACACAAACATATCATGAAATACTAAAGAGTACATTTATTCAATAAAATCGCCATTGGCTTAACTGCACTAAAATTAAGGGAGAATGGGGTGTCATGGATCAAGATATATATATGTATATATTACATGAATCATTCATACAAACAACAGATATTTCCATGCCTGATGATGTCTGTATGCACAGATAAAAGCTTGTAAAAAAATAAAAAAAGACCTTATGCAACTGGAATTTATAAACAGGGATCATAACATTCAACTACAGGTTCGGGGTTAATGTACTTTATTAAATTTGTTTGCGAAGATGGATTCTCGCCATTTATATACACTAACTTCCAGACCTGTTTTTGTATGGATGATTCATGTAATGTAAATAGAACTGCACCACATACTTGATATATATATATATATATATATATATATATATATATATATATATATATATATATATAATATATATATATATATATATATATATATATTAATGCTCTGTAAATTTACATTGAGCACTATTTTTTAAAAATAAAATATCTATAAGAACACCGGATTATATATCGTACTGTTCTTTCTTTTTTATTTTATACATACATATATATATATATATATATATATATATATATATATATATATATATATATATATATATACTGTAAATATTTTGTTAATGAATTTATTATCGGCATGCATCTAAAATCGGGAAGAAAGGCATTGTCGGTCGTCAGGAAATAAATGCATTGAAGGGCGATTATATATATATAACTCAAACAAAAACATTGTTTTCAATCGTTATGAGTCTACCGATTGGATAGAATTTTATTACAAACAATTGTCTTGTAAATGGAATTTTTAAAGCATTCTGAATGTAAAAATAAAGAAAAAAATGTGCAATACAATAAGAAACACTACCTGCCAAAAAAAAAAGTGAAGTTTTGTTGAAATCGGTTGAAAAATGTAGGAAATCCGATCCCATATATAAACGAACACACACACAAACAACTTGGGTTTTTTAATAAGTATAACTCAATATGAGTTGTCCCCCTTTCATTTTTGTGATGTCTCTTAATCATGTTTTCAAATTGATTTTGTGAAAAAACAATTGTTTTTTCCAATTTTTGGCGCTGTTAGAACCACCGCAAGGTAATTTTACGTAGTCCTGTGAAGTTTTGTTGAAATCGGTTGAAAAATGTAGGAAATCCGATCCAATATAAACGTACAACACACACACACACACACACACACACACACACACACACACACACACACACACACAACCTGGGTTTTATAATAAGTATGATTACGCAAACGTCTGCTAGTTATTTTACTATAAAAAGCATTGGAAATCTGGGAGAAAGTGCTTTCATAATCAGGAATTAATGCAGGTATTAATGATAGAATACGGTTATTATATGCATAAAATAAATCTATTGCTAATTATTAAAATGCACTGGAAAACAGGAAGAAATGCATTGTTGGTAGTCAGGTATGAAGTATTTTTGGGGGCTCAACAATACTTTTTTTCTGTCTGTATAAA